TTTTTGAAGAATAATTTTTTAAAAACTAAATGCATTCAAAAATACAAATTTGAAGTGAGGAAAGATAAAAATATATATAGATAATTAAAAAAATGATATTTTTAAATAAAAGATGAGACTATAAAAAAATGTTTTTGTCTATATCTTATTGTAAAACAGTATATATATATGAGTAAAAATTTATTTTTAAATAAATATTACACATTATACTTATACAATAATATAATTAACTATTCGTGACAATTCTTTGAGATCCTATTTTCTAAGTAATTACAGGAAAGCTAGTAGAGTAACTAATTAAAATATTAGTAGAAATAAAGGAGCTTCCTCAACCTCATGACTTTGTTTCGAGCCTTCATTCTTCCTTTCAACCAGTTAGTAATCTGTCCATAAAAATAGAGAAAAAAGGTCTTTAATCATCTTTAGATTAAAAATTAGAAAACCAATGAGGTCAAAGATTGGAATGCAGCCAATGAGATCTTCTGAAGAAGGATATGTGGAGTTGGGATTCTTTCCCATTTCTGAAGGAAGACAGAAAAGGCAGTGTGTTAGAACTGTCGTTCCAGAAGCAAAGGTGGACCACTGTTCGTGTCTCCTTCCCCTTTTACCACAATACCCTAGTCAATCCATATATTTACAATTCAAACCCCTCATTCTAGTCCAGTACTGTTGTCGGTTGCTTCTGTAAGCTTGCTAGGCTAAAACCGGGAATTAGATTCACCCCAGAAGAGGTCAATCTGCTCTGCGTCAGGTCTTACGGCGGAGAGCGGCGCCGGTCCTGCAATTAAGAGAGGGAAGATGTTTGCCTCCGCTCCCACTTTTGCCAAAATATTCATAAAAATTAAAACTTTACCGTAAATATTTAATCTTCGGACCACTTGAGTAAAACCCAGAAACAAAAGATCGTGTCTTTAATGTTAATACAATAGATTAAGGAAAAACCATAGTGAAAAGAAAACTAAAGATACTAATGTTGTAAGCTTTTTCTGAGATTCTCTTAACGCGTGGTCAACAATCGCCACTATTAATCTTAATAATCTAGATTCTAGAGTTAAAGAGCTGTATAAAGTTTGATAAATTTACTGTTTTGATGCACTTTTCTTTTTCTTTATTTTCTTTTCTTTTTCTTTTTCTTTTAATTGTAGTGATGAATTGGACACCAGTGAGTTGTGAGCAGTGAAAAGTGAAAGCTGTACATACAATGTGGACTTTCTTTCCTCCTATAAATTGCCTTTCCCTCAGTGTCTCACTTCTCCCATGGTGTGTGACTATGGAAACTTAAGCTTCTCCATTTTAGACTCTTGCTTCAGCATAGCCACAGGCCATTGCAACCCTTTTTGCTTTGCGCTTTCAGGGTGTTTGAGGAGAGTTCGGAGTGAGATTGGGGTGCTTGAATGATGGAATCTAGTTTGGTTTCCAGACTTTTACTTGCATTTTGCTGGGTTTTGTTTTTGGGTTCTCAAGTGAGCCACTGCAACGTGAGCTACGATAGGAAGGCGTTACTGATCAATGGGCAGAGAAGAATCCTCTTTTCTGGGTCAATTCATTACCCCAGAAGCACCCCTGAGGTAGGAAAATCTCTCTCTCTCTCTCTCTCTCTCCCCCCCATCTAATTTCTCTGTTTTTGGTTTTGGTGTTTGGTTTTTGTTGAGGAAATGGGATTTGTTATGTTGTAGATGTGGGAAGATCTGATACAGAAGGGGAGAGATGGAGGACTGGATGTGATTGAGACTTATGTTTTCTGGAATGTTCACGAGCCTTCTCCCGGAAATGTACTCAACTTTTGTCGCCATTTTCCTTTTGTTTTCCCTTTCTGTTGAACTTTCGTTGCTAACTATGTTTACTGCTTCAATTTCTATTTGTTAAATTTCAGTACAATTTTGAAGGGAGATATGATTTAGTAAGGTTCATAAAGACAATACAGAAAGCAGGACTCTATGCTCATCTTCGCATTGGCCCCTATGTTTGTGCAGAGTGGAATTTTGGGTTAGATCTAACTCCTCTATCCTGTTTCTTTACTCAGTAATTTGGGTTTTTCTTCATTTTCTTTGGTCTGTTCCTTTTCTGCTATTTGAAATAATTTCTGGTTTCTTAATCTTCTGTATGTTTTACCATGTCTAGGGGCTTTCCTGTGTGGCTAAAGTATGTGCCAGGCATCAGCTTCAGAACAGACAATGAGCCTTTCAAGGTCTTACTTCTACTTTTATTCTTAATTACATTT